CTTGAATTAATAATAATGCATAAATATCGGTTTATCAAGGGTAATAAAAGTACCACGCTAATGCAAGATGTTGATAATAAGGGAAAGAATGGGTGAAGGAAGAAGAGAGGAGGTAGATTCAAACTCAATTTTCTGCTCAATATTTTAAATTTAAAACTGCTGTAAAAATAAATTGTATTAATTTTAAGAAGAATTTGAGGTTCTTTACAGCTCTTGATATCTTTTCACTAAAATGTCTTTAATACTCAAAATAGAAGACTTTAATAAAGATATAAAATGAGTGATCAGGTCAACTGTTTGTGAATAATAATATGTTCTAGATTGACTTTGGATTTTAGGGCCAAGGGTCTGTGATGATTCTTATACTTGCTAATGGTCAGACTATTTTAACTTCTTAAATCCATTCGCTATCTTGGCAAATGGAATCTGCTTAGTGCTTTATTGTTGCTTAATAATTATACCTTGAATTTATAGAGTTCAATACATGTTCATTGAATTGAATTAGAAAAATTGTTCAATTTGGTATATAATACTGATTGAACTGTCGTATTTTTGTAAATTTCATTTTAGTCTAGAAAGTTTTTGAAAATTTGGGACAAATGAGATCAAGGGTGGCAATATACATTGGTATTCCCATTTTGTGTTGTTTCTGGTATTCCTCTTCAAAAGGATTGTGTGTGTGTGTGTGTGTGTGTGTGTGCGTGTGTATGAGAGATTAAGGAAATCAACACCTATTTAGGACACACCAGGCTGGAAGAGAGAAAGAAAGTTTGTTCTTTGAAGTCCCATAGACCAGGATCAAACCCTAGCTTCCCTAACTGTGTGACCTGAACAATTTTTCTGAGTCTCAGTTTCTTTTCTGTAGAATGAGGTAAATATTTACTTCACAGAGTTTTCGTGCAGTTACCTGGGGAAGGTAGAGAAATTCTCATCCTCGTGGTAAGGTCTGCTCCAGGTTCATTGGCAACATTGAGTTAAACTAACGTATAAGTCAGAGAATAGATTGTGAAGAGGTTTCGGTAATTAAGTCAAAACTTTCAAAGTCTGATAAGAATATGGATTGGGATAAAATGTGAGAATTGTAATACAATTTAAAGCAATAAAATGTCAACTTACAAGAGCATGTATTATGAATTTCTTATGAGGGTAATTCTGGAATTTGAAATTGGATTAATATCTCTATTAATGAATAATAAAGCAAATTTTGTGAAGGCATGTGTAGAATATGACTGAGCAACTTAAATGTAATTGAAAATTTCCCCTTAATATTAAGGCTGGGCAGTAGAAGTAGTCCAAAGAGATTATACTGCTGAGGAGATTATATTTAATTTAGTTGCTTTATCCTGGCAATTTACTGCTCATTTAGATAACTGTCTTGCTAACGCTGCTTGCAGTTTCCAAGTCATAGCATTAGATATTCTGTACAGAAAAATATATAATTTCCTTTTGTCGAGCTGTCTAAAAAAACGTTGTTTTTACGTTGGTGTACTATTTACTAAGAATAAATACTTTGTGTCTATTATCTAATTCGTTCTAGTATTTTGAGTAACACTGAATATGTAAAACAGGTGAACTTCGACAAAATGATTCCCTTTGTGCTATTACAATGGGATTTAAGTTTTAGATTTGTTTTTGGTAAAAACTGAATGATTCAGATTCAGGGCATTGTCAATCATGTCCTGTGTAAATAATGAATTTTATTCCTATTGAGTGATTTAAGAAATAGTATTTCCATCTTTAGAAATAGCTAGTATTCCTTAGCCGGTAGATTAATCTTGGGTTGCTGACTTAACATATTTTAAAGCCCACATCCTTTTGAGGTTTGCAGATGGGAAAAAGTTAGAATTAACTTGCAAGATTGTGGCTTCATATTGCCAAAAATGATCAGTCTTTAATCACCAGTTTTTGGTAGTACTTTGTCTCCCCCCCCACCCCACCCCAATCACAATCTTCTTGGAAAAAATTTGATAATTATTTCCCAGAAAAATGCAGTTATACTTGCAAGAAATTCCAAATAATTTTAGAGGATTCACAGACCCTCTCCCCGCCCCGCCCCCCACCTCCAAAGTTCATTAAAATAGATGGGAGACTCCTGAGAGCAGAATTTCCATTTAAGAATATAAAATAGTGGCAGAACGATCAGTGTCAGTTCAAAACTTAAGTTTTACCTGGCACTTTCATTTATTTAACATGCATTTATTGAGCACCTACTATGTTCTGAGGCTTCCAGCAGTGAACAAGGAAGGGAACAAGCCTTGAGCTCACAGAGTTTATATTCTGGGAGATGCTGATTGTTAGAGAGAAACACAGTGGTCTTGACCCTCAGAATTAGCTCTCGCTGGTACTTGTAAATCTAAGCAACCCTTTTTCTTCAGGAACCAGAGATGATTTTGATTAATTGACCTGACAGTGCATGGCACATCATATTTACTTGGAAGGACTTAATAACCCCGGAGATTCCCAAAGGAATCATGAAAATTTCCACATACTATTATCCTAATGGGATCACAGTAAGAGAAAGTGCAAGCAATGATTTAAGTTTCTCACAGGCAGAGGAAGTTTTTGGTTAGTCCTTAACGCTGTTGAGTTTTTCACCTAACTTCACATTAGAAAGAAAAGCCAGGGCAACAGAGACCAGAAGCATGGGAGGAAAACATTATATGGAAATGTATTGTCCTCTTAGGGAAATAAATAGTTTGTTCCTTGGGGCACATATCATTTTTAATTTAAAATGTGTGGGGAAGCGATTATTATTTTTTTAATAAATTGTGGCAGGAAATATTTTCTGTACTTGGGAATTCTGAGTGGGAACAGAATAGTTAAATTGGAATATTCTGTAACGGCGGTTCTCAAAATATTTCTGGGATCAGTAAAATCTTCATTAATCACCTGGGAACATGTTAGAAATGCAAATTCTCAGAGCACACCCCAGACTTACGGTTCAGACATTGGGAAAGGGAACAGCAATCCGTGTTTTAACAAGCTTTTCAGGTGATTGTCATGCTTCAAAAGTTTGACAAATGCTGCTGTCCAGTTAGGAACAAACTATTGCTCTTTTAATTTGGCTCGCATTTATCACACACATGTACACGTGAGAGTTATAGGTAGGTTTTGAAATTTATAACACAATGCATGACACATTTCTTATCATGTTAAGACTCTTTTAAGATATTCCTCTACTTCAAGAAAGTCTATTTTCTTTAAGTTAATATGAAAATATCCTAAAAGTTAATCCTGAAATGTTCTACAACCATTAATTTACATCAAATTAGACTATTTTATATTAAATTAGATAACATAGTTGAGAAACCAAGCATAATGGCTAACATTCAGTAGATGCCTTGTATATCATAGTTCCCTTTTGCTTTTATGCACAAGTATTTGTTTTTTTAAAATTTGTCATATATTTCGTCTCTTGATTTCAAGTGTTTGCATATGAATAACATGTAAAGTATTAAAATGTTAGAAAACTGAACATTGTGTTTATGGGTTATTTTGGATGTGCACCCTTTGGGGCAGCTTATCATTTCTGCTGAAGTAGAACGAAAGTTTAAATTTCTGTAAGGCAGAGTTAAGTTTGAGCGGAAGAGGCAAGAGAATTAGTAGCATAGGAGATACTGCGTTTTCACGTTGCCTCTAGCGCCACCTGTATTTCCCAGGACCCACCGGTCTGAGGGGACAAATGATAACCTTCACGTAGACATTAATAACCCACAGTTTTCTGGCTTTCCTTCCTCACTTGCTGAGCGCACACTTCAGCCCCTTCCCCAGAGGGTCCCCCAGCTACTTGGGGGAGTTTTCCGATCACATTTGGACGTGCTCTCAAGAGCGAGGCTGCTCGGGTTCCTGTGCTGTGCTGCTTAGAATCTGCAGCCTGATGACCTCCTGACAGCCCTCTGCCCCTGCCCCAACGTCCAGGACTTTTGGGAGAGGGCTGCTGTGCTGCCCAGAGCCCTGTGTCTGGTGCACCCTCAAACTGCAGAACCCTCTATAGGACAACAGAGGCTCTATCACGGCCACAGCGCACAGACACCATATTGGATTCTGTGAATTTCTCTCCAGCTTCCCAGCTCCTCCTCCTTTCCTAGGTACCTACACACAGATTTAGTAGGTCCCCTTCCCTAGTGCTTATCAATACAGGCAAATTCATGCTCTGGTGGGGAGGGGGCCACAGTGGGTCTGGCTCTAGGGACCGAGCTGTGCTGTTGCCTCCAGCCCCACACTCAGAAGGGCCCTGTGCTTGGATTTATGCTCTCTTATTGCCATTTCGAAGTTTTCGAACACGGGGTCCCGCATTTATTTTCGTTTTGTGCTGTATTCCTCAAATGAGGCGGCAGTCCTGGGAAGCTGCCCACCCGTTCAGCAGAACCCCAGACTCTGAAATTCAGTTTGGGGGCAATTTATTAGACTATGCGTGCTTCTTCCTGAGTCTCTTCTTGAGATTTGCACTTACAGTATCCAAACTCTGAGATACTAGATTTAAACATGATTTTTTTTTCCATAGGAGCAGTAGAGTCTATAAATTTATAGAAATCTGCAATAGTTTACTATTATTACCTTTTTAGATCTAAGTGCATTTTGAAATATTTATTTAAAAGCCACTTTCGTTAACAGATTTCCTTGGGTAAAAGTTGGTGAAAGTTTATCAAGAACCAAATTAAGTGTGTTTCATTCATTAAACATAAATTGAATTACCCATTAAATGCTAAGGATGAAGGTCCTAAAATTGGAATAAGACCTGTCCCTGTTTTCTAGGAGCTCATCATGGGCCTGGAATGACAGATGCAGAGAGTGATTACTTCTGTCTGGAGGGCTGGAGATAGGGTAGGGGAAGAGATTAAACACCGTTTAATGATATAAGACCGTGAGGCGGGGCTTGGTGTCCATAGAAGTCATTGGGATGCACCAGTGATTCAAACTAGACTCTGTCCGAATCCTTGTGGCTTGGTCACACTTGTTTTTGATTCACAGTTTGTCACTGTTTCCTCCTGTGCCCTTAGCCTCGGCACCCCAGTCGGACGAAGGCTCTGACATTGACTCTGAACCGGATTTGCCCCTGAAGAGGAAACAGCGCAGGAGCCGAACCACGTTCACAGCAGAACAGCTTGAAGAGCTGGAACGCGCTTTCGAGAGAACCCACTACCCGGATATCTACACCAGGGAGGAGCTGGCACAGAGGGCGAAGCTCACGGAGGCCCGAGTACAGGTACTGCCCTCCGCGCCCCCACGCCCTGCTTCCTTTCAACCCGGAAGGAAAACCGAAAGGGTCTTCTCGTTTACAGTATATGCTGAACCAAGAAAATAGGTATATTAGGCATGGCACTTCTTTGTGCATTGTAGTCTCTAGTATTATAAAGTTCCTTCCTTTGTCTCTAATGCCTTTTTCCTATTTCGCCTTTCATGATAATATCATGACCTCTGTTTTCTTTTTATTTTCATTTGCCTGGTTCGACCTCCTCCCAATCCATCTCTTTCATTTTTGGGATGTCTATTGTATACAGCAGTATTTTACTTGCTAACCAGTCAGAAGTTTCTTTTTTTTCTTAATAGGTTGGGAAGTCCAGTTAAATTTGTTGACATGATGGCTATGTTTGGCATTTGATACAAGTATTTGATAAGTGTCAATACTAAACCGTGATCTATGGAATTTGCTTTTTTTGTATTCTCAGTTCTTTTTGTATTTATGAAAATGTGCATTCTTATTTTAGAATTTGGTTATTATTACTAGGAGAATATGATTATATCAGATAAAACACAGAGAAGTCTGTTAATTCATGTTATTCACTCATCATTTCAAGAATCCTAATGATGTAACAGCCACTATATGGACATTGAGGTGAAACACAGATGATAGCAAGCCAATCTTGAGTGGTTCCTCTGTGCCAGGCATTGTTCCAAGTGCTTTACATGAATTAGCCCATTTACTTGTCATTAAAACCATAGGTAGGCATTAATTACTACCACCAATTTATTTTTCAGACTATTTAAATAACTACCTAAAGTTAAATCGTTCATAAATTAGAGAGGTAATTGGATTCCATACACTTCCTCTCTATGGCCTTTCAATTATGAAATGTGAATAAGGTAAAATCCCTTCCTTTAAGAATTTTATTGTCTAGGAGCCTTTCAAATAACTATTGTTCTAAAAACAGTTTGAAATACCTTTTGAACTCTTTGAAGTACAGATGACAATTGAACAATGTGAGGGTTAGTAGTTTTGACCCCTGCACAGTCTAATATTCATACATAAATCTTGACTCCAGAAAAACTTAGCTCTAGGTATCCATGGGGGATTGGTTCCAGGCCCCGCCCCCTCCAAGGATACCAAAATTTGAGGATGCTCAAGTCCCCTATACAAAATGGTATAGATCAATGCATACAGTTGACCCTTCGCATCTGCAGGCTCCCAACTACAGGCTGAAAACGCGATAGATATTTACTGAAAAACATCTGCGTGTAAGTGGACCCACACGGTTCAAACTTGTGTTGTTTAGGAGTCAATGGCACTGTGAACCCTCTGGAAAAGGCCATTTTGGTATAATATCTTTCTATTGAGTGAAAGAATAATGTTTTCATCATAAATAATGACTGTCCTCCTCAAGGTAGTAAAGCATTGTTTGAAAGATTACAAATGTCTTAGTGTATCCTGGATCTCCTTACTGCCCCAGAGTAAGGAGTCTAACATATTAGACTGTGACCCCTGCACAGTCTAATATTCACACATAAATCTTGACTCCAGAAAAACTTAGCTCTAGGTATCCATGGGGGATTGGTTCCAGGCCCCGCCCCCTCCAAGGATACCAAAATTTGAGGATGCTCAAGTCCCCTATACAAAATAACATGTTATTTTACCTGGAAATGTTGTGTTATTCCAAGATACTCGACTTTCATAGTCAAAATGAAGGTGGGGACTCAGCAGTGAACTGGTCAGTTGATAGGTTCTCGACACTTTTTCATATGTAGCTAATTACCTCTCCAATTATATAATTTTCAGAAATAACCTCTTCCAGGCTGCAGAGCCTCATCAGAGGAGTTGTCTTTTTCAAATTGACTTTCCATATGATCATCACAGTGCTACATTGTTTGAAAGATTACAAATGTCTTAGGGTATCCTGGAACTCCTTACTGCCCCAGAAGTCATGTTATTTTACCTGGAAATGTTGTGTTATTCCAAGATACTCGACTTTCATAGTCAAAATGAAGGTGGGGACTCAGCAGTGAACTGGTCAGTTGATAGGTTCTCGACACTTTTTCATATGTAGCTAATTACCTCTCCAATTATATAATTTTCAGAAATAACCTCTTACAGGCTGCAGAGCCTCATCAGAGGAGTTGTCTTTTTCAAATTGACTTTGCATATGATCATCGCAGTGCTAGGAAAATCAAGGAACGCGGAGATGAATTAGCACAAGTCTCTCAAGGAGCTACAATCTGATAGGGGTAATAAAGTAAACATACAAATAATTTAAAAACAAAGCAGAAGTGATAAGTTCCATGAGAAAGAGACTAAGCGAGTACATGTGGGGAAGAGGAAAGGATGAGGTCTTGTTGGAGTAAACAAGAGAGGCTCACGAAGAAGGCAGATTTAAGATGGACTTTTGAGGCTAAATAGATATTCATTGGACAGGGCAGGTGGGGAGAGTATATTAATAAGGGGGAATAATATGAGCAAAAGCACAGAGAGTTGGAAGAACCTCAGTTACATACCAGATGACCTTTCATTTTCACTCATGTCAAGATAACAGTGAATAGTTCAGTTTGGTTGGAGGGTAGGGAGCGGTGGGAGGCAGAAGGAATAAGGTTGCGAAGCAAGGCTGAGGCCATCCTGTGGAAGGCTCGGGTCTCAGGTGCGGACGCTCACACTTGATGTGATAGGCAGGAGAGCTGTGGGCATGAAATAGGTCAGTGGCAGTGGGAATGGAAGAGTAAAGAGGGTGGTGAAAGATGTTCAGAGGTGGAACGTAGGCAGCTGATTGTGTAAGCTGGAGGTGGGTGGAAGGCTGAGTGAAGGGAAAGTCACAGAATCACTGAGGTTTGTAGTGTAGATGTTTACTGTGGGTACTATTTGATCCCTCTTCCTGTTACACTGTAGTACAGAGTTCCCTCCCAGAAATGACCACCTCTAAGCACAATCATGTATAATATATGTATAATATATATATATATTATACACATTATAATATATATACACATTATAATATATATAATATATATACATATATTATACACATTATTACATAATGTATAGTATATATATTATAATATTCTATATAACAAAGTTACAATTAGCATACATATCAAATCTCTTTTGTCTTTATTGTAGTTCTATGATTACCTGGTTTAAATGTGAAGTGAAGTTCATTTACTTCTCCATTCTTTCAGCAAATCTTTAATGAGTGCCCACTGTATTCCAGGATTTGGTCCCTGTACTCCATGGCTGGCCAAGCCCACATTCAGGGTCTGTCGTTAAGCCAGGTTGGATATCAGCTCTGGAACTCAGAGTCAAAATATGAACATTGATTTTAAATAAATTAAACAAAGAGAGTGATCGAAAACTGAAAAGAGTGTTCAGTGTTGCTGTGTCTCATTCTTGCCTTTGCCAAAGATGAAGATGGGGACAGAACGAATTCCGAGCCCGTGCAGCTTGTGCGGTGCCTAGCATGCGCTCTGGCTCAATGACTGTCAAAGGAGAATAAGAATGGCCCATTAACTTCCGGAGGACATGGGATCAGACCAATAAAGAGTGGTTCATATTTTTCTATACAGCGACCTCCTCTCCAAGCAGGCCCCTCATTAACCTAACAGCTGTCCTAATGTGGCTTTAACCCGGTGACTCTTTACATTCCTTAATGGCTTCATTAGTTCCCTTGAGACACATCATGTCCTGCACCACTGCTATGATCTACAGCCTAACAAATTCCCTACAACACCCAGCATATGGATCTTTTACTGAACCCAGCAGGAAAAAGAAGGGAGTAGTTAATCACTGATTAAAATGCCAGAACAAAATCCTTTGGTTTTTAGAAGGATCTGGGAAAGCAGTAGCAAAGTCAACTCAGTTTGAGTGATAGCCAGAAAGTACGAGTTAGTTTAATTTGGGGCTCCTGGGAAAACCAAACACCAAATCAAAAAAGCAAAAAACAAAAAACAAAAAACCCAAACACATTCTATTCCATTTTTTTTCCCCCCTGAGGAAAGATATCTCCAAGCTCTTCTGGAGAGAGATGAGACTAAAACTATAATACCTTAGGCCTTTGTCAATATTTCATAAAAAATTTGTTTGGACAGTAGCTACGTTGTGTTTATCATAACCAAATCTGAATACATAGTCTAAGAATTGTTGTACACCAGAGACTAATAATTTGCCTAATTTACTTCCTTGGTAGCTTTTATTTTGCAAATAATAGCAAGCATTACAGTTTTGTGTGGAAGATGACTTGCAAATATTTATGATGTGCAAAAGTTTTGGTAAATATTTCATCAGAGAACTCCAAGTATCATTCTCTTTTATCAGCAAGATAATGGGACCCAGGGAAGGAAGATGCTTATAGAAATAGCATTTAATTAGGAGTCAGAAGATGTGGGTTGCGTCTCAGCTTGCCCAAAGCATTTTGTTGAGCAAGTCACTTAATTCTGCTGTAATTGTTGTAATCCTGATGAGCCTGAGGGCTTTTTTTTTTTTTCAGTTTTGAAATTTGGGTAGGTTAGATAAGATGATCTTAGTCTGGGTCTGTGGACAATCATGCACGACTTCAGGAGACTTGAGATTTGTACATGAATCTTGTGCCTTTGCGTGCGTGTGTGTGTGTGTACACATGACATTTTCTGAGAAGGCCTCTGGCTCTTATCATATTCTCAAATACCACCTCCCCTTGTCCTGTCCCCCAGTTAAAAACTACTAGGATGCATGATCTCAGGACCGTGCTAGCCTCAGTAATTTGGGATCCTCTGGGAAACCCGATGGTGATTTAAAGCCATCTAACAGATACACATAATTCAGAAGCTAAGGTAGGTATGGAATAGTTGACCCTGAATTCCATAGCGAAGCAGAAAGATGGTCATTCTGCAATTCGCTGCAGGACCTTACTCTCGGAAGGTGCAGAGATGCAGGTGGGTATGCTTACGTGTGTGCCCGTGGCCCTCTGACACCGCTGGGAGGATGGCGTCTCTCCTCATCAACCAGGCTTACCCTCTCCCCAACTTGTGTGCTACAAGTGGCTGCAGTGACAGCAGGGCTGGGACTGTGTGATCTGAAAAGAGAGAGGGCGGAATGAATGAGAAGGTCCGGGGAACCAGCAGCTTGTCCTGAAATCACCTCCTTGGAAAGTACTGTATTTGGCATTGTAGCCTTAGCACCAAATCTAGTGTTTAATCAGGCATTTATAATCTTGTTATGAATTCAATTTTTAAGGATTAAGTACTACATTTTTTCCCTATTTTTTTGGACTGCATTTCAAATAACCTATCTGGAATAATGTAGGTTAGATTGCCTTCGAGGACCACACCCGAAATGTGAACCGGTAACTTATAGACAGACAAAATTAAGTTTACACCATGGCTCAATTAGTGCTAATCCATGAAACTTGGAAGCAAATTTGACCTATGTCTCCCTTCAAGCCAAACTCACTTTCAATTATTTGAGGTGTTATTTGGGCACTTTCCTGTTTGCTCATGGGCGCAAAAGGCTTTGGCTGTAGGCCATAGAGCTAAGAAAACAAAGCAAGGCTTTAATTCTTGAATTTCTCAGACAGAGGTGACATTTTAACTTAATAGCGAACATTTATTGAACACTTAATATTATCTCTTAGGTATTCTTTTAAAGGCTCTGATTGCACTGTATCATTTAATTGTCATAATACTGGTGAAATAGTTTTTTATTTTTCCCATTCAGCAGATTAGAAAACAGAGTCCCACAGAGATTAAGCAAATGATTCGAGGTCATAGAGCTCGTAAGGGACGGGGAGAGCTGTGATTCAACCTTTGCCTGGTTTGTGTTATACCTATGAGAATAAAACGAATGACTGCATCTTTTAAAGTCCTGTTTTCCCCATCTTATATTCTTGAGAGTCTGAACAAGCTGGTTACTTATTTTGTACATGAAGAGAAAAATTTATTAAAACCTTATTCTTCTTTTGTGATTCTATGATGTTATGGGGATCTATCAGTCAATTTAAATTTTGCTTCAAAAAATCGTTGGACATTGTATTACTCCAGAAATAGGCCTAAAGATTATTTACAAAAGGCACGAATATAGCTTTGTGGAAGAACTCTGTAGAGAGACATACAAGTAGAGAGATTCAGGGGGCAGATGGGAACAAACCAGGCTGCAGTTCATCGAATAAAGTAAAAATTTCAGGTGAATGTCTTTCAGTTAGAAAAGGGTTGAAAACTATCCCAGGAACACGTGGTTTACTAGTTCAGGGGTTTAAAATGCAGATTATTTCAAGGGAAGATTAAAAAAAAAAAAATAGAAGAAATGTCTTTTATGAGTTTCAAAGTATAAAGAAGGAAAAGACCACTTCCTAATTTGCAACTTCAATATATTTTTCCTTTAATGTTTCTTCTGGCAGATTCAACTGGTTCTAGGAAATGCAAGTTCGCAATGGCAAGTTGATAAACATTTTGGTTAAATGGCCAGAGACAGGCAGGCCCTGGTTCTTTAGGAATTTTAAACGTTTAACTTCCTTCCTTTGACAAACTCTTGAAACCCCCCTTTAAAGGTTCATTTTTTTAGTAAAGATTTGCTTCCCAACTATTTCTCTCCATCTTTTATTGTATTGTATTAAACCTGGTAGGTTTACTCAATGTCTCCGATATTTTTTTTTGTATTATTTTGGAAACATATAAACAAATCCCTGGAAATCTTAACCCCCTGGTCTTTTGGATTTGATCATTTGAAGGTATTTGTAGAAAATTACAATGTTACTTCTAATTTATTATTTGAGGAAAGACATTTTTGATTAAAAAATTGGGTTAGGGAAGAGTTAGAATGAACTCGAATTAAAAGTAGGTTGGAATTGATGTCGCGATCAGGAATAGCCACCTACAGGATAAGTCAAACTTGGTCTCCTTATCTAAAGGTTACAGAAGGAAGTTGGCATAGGGAGGCTGGCAGCGTACTCTGGTAATGACGGAAGTGCAAACTTCTGAGTTCTTTCATCAAAGGTCTCACCAGGTACAATTGAAAACAGTATACCTGAATGAGTGAAGTCACATTGGAACTTTTGGAAATTCCACTCTTCTCCCAGTCTAGAACGTCAAGCTGGAGATGCACTGCACATAGGTTGGTCTAGACAGGTGTGGGGGACCACTTCACCTGAGCCGGGTGGCCTCGTTAATCTGAAAGTTTTATAATGTAAAATATGCCCACAGTGTGTGGGATAGTACAGTACACTCAGGCATGAATACGGCTCTCATGTCTGGCCCTCGGCCTCCTTGGGCTAACATAGCTCGTTCCAAGCAGTCCTCTGAAAAGTTTTCTTTCCCTGATGCCTCTGGGAATCACTGGAACAGATGCTTAGAATTGCAGCGAGAAAACAATTGATGCAGACCTCAAATTGAGTGCTGTTCGTGGTTCTATTATCTCAGGTGGCAATTTATTAAGTTAAGTAAAACTCTAATTCAATTATGTATCAACATGGGAAAATATTGATTTACTTTCTTTTCCTGTTGGAAACTTAAGGAATATTAAATGTTATTATTTTGAGGATGTGCACACAGCTTTCCTTACCAGTACCTTGCAACCTGCCTAGAGAAGACTGAACTCTTTTTTTCAGACAAATACTTGGGCGAATAGTAAAAGTTTAAGCAGATACCTTGGCAGAATATTTGTTTAATTGGGTTTTCTTGCTCCAGGAGGGAGAAATTTCACTTTCCATTTTTTTTTTTAAATTTCACAACTTAAAAAATTACAAAAAAGTTCGATAATTGTTAATTTTGTTCTGTGAGGAAATAAGCTTTAAAATGAGGTGCAACTCTGTCTCCACTCTAAACTTTTCCTGATTCTCTGCATTTCTAAACATGAGCTTCTACGTTAGTGAGCAATTATTTTGATTTCTTTGAAGACTTTGTGAATTCTATGAGGACAAGGTTGTAAGTTACTCAAGTGCAGGGACTTTACCTTATTCTAAGTTCTACACTTAAACTCTGCAGATATAAGAGTTGGGCAAGATCATGGGGCCTGTTAAACACCTTATACTGTAATTTTTCAATGTTTTAGATGTTTGGTTACATTTCTTGCTCTCATTATTGCCATTTCTCTCTAGCCACTCGCACGAAATACTTGGGCATTAAGTTCCTTGAAGGCATTTTATTATATTACATCAAGTTTTTCTGAATGTACCTGTTTAACATCGTGCCTGGCATAGAGTGTTGCAGGTGCTTAAAGCTGTTGTTGAAAGAAATAATAAATGAATTACTCAAGGGATCTCCTTACAGAAAATGCTTTCATTTCTTGAAATACCTCTTTGCATTTATTTCCACTAATATCAGTACAATGTCTCACACTTTGAAAGGGATGGTAAAAGGGATCCATTTATCTTCCCGGTCAATTTAAATGACCGTGCAGGAGCTATGGCCATAATGATCACAGAAATACAGAGACAGACTGATAAGAATATGAAATACAAGGGTTACTGTAATAGGCAAGGCCAGATTAAGTCATATGTCCCGTGGGAGTCAGAGGCTCATGGATCTTCCCTAGAATACATGAAGGTGGGGGGGACGTTGATGGTGATAGTGGGGAGTTCCTTGTTCTTCCCACCCCTGCTCAGCCATCCCTGCCCATGGCCATCCCTGGGTTAGTGGCGGCTCTGCAGGACCATGAAGGCCTTCGAAGCCCCTCTGTGACCCCTGACATTTAACTCTCCCTTCTCTGCTGACAATACAACACAGAGGGTAGAGAGCTCTTGCTTCTATTTGCCCTGTCAGTAAGGGACCTTTAATCTGTTTTAGCATGAAAAATTCATTAAGAATGTACTATTATTTCATCAGTGAAATCCTCAAATTTTAAATTAAATCCATAGGTCTGGTTTAGCAACCGCCGTGCAAGATGGAGGAAGCAAGCTGGGGCCAATCAACTGATGGCTTTCAACCATCTCATTCCGGGGGGCTTCCCTCCCACTGCCATGCCGACCCTGCCAACATACCAGCTGTCGGAGACCTCTTACCAGCCCACGGCTATTCCCCAAGGTATGGAGGGGGGGAGCCAAGGGTTAAAATATAACTCCCCACCGCTTTTCCTGCTGCTAATTTCATGCCATGCTGACGTTGTTGCTGTTTCTGTGTTAGTTACATTCCATCAGGTTGTCCTGAATGTCCCAGTCACATTTCAGAAACATAGTTTGTTCTGGGACACACTTGAATCTCTCTAGATAAACTGCATTGTAATATAACACTATTTCGGTATTTTAAAACAAAACAAAACAATAGAACAAAATAACCTTTCTAAATAAATATGCGATGTGCTTCTTTTTTGTTAAAATTTTACCTCTACGTTTGTTCTCCAGTCTGCCATTGACTGAAATTCTATGATGGTTACTGACTGTGGTGGTTATGGGGTGGGGCGGGGGAGGCGGGGGAAGATTTGATAAAATCAGAATTTGTTAGCACATAGAGGTGAATGAGAGAACCGATCAGATAAAATCATTTTGGATTATGAAAGATAGCATTTCAAGCATTCGAACTATACGATTGCACCAATACTTAAGTGATGCGAAAGTATATTTGCTAAAGAAATTTGAGACTTGCAAGCTCTTACATTGGTTAATTCTCATGTTGATTACTAACAGCCACTACCAGAATAGGTTTGTTAGCATCGTTAATGTGATCTCTGAATTCCTAGTCTGGGCGAGTGTGCCATGAAAGTATATAAATAAGTTATGTACTTGCACATATGTGCAGACAAGTGGCTATATTGGTTGTGACTGGTTCTATACGTGCACGTTAAGAAACACAGTTGGATGTTAACATTTGGGCTGACCAATAGATACTACCGATGGCTTGGTGACCATGAACTTTGGCACTGAACTTTCTCTGCTGGCCTACAAAGGAACTTTATGGCTAACCATTTTCTTCATTGTAGCCGTGTCAGATCCCAGCAGCACCGTCCACAGACCTCAGCCGCTTCCTCCGAGCACTGTACACCAAAGCACAATTCCTTCAAACCCAGACAGCAGCTCTGCCTACTGTCTCCCCAGCACCAGGCATGGATTTTCCAGCTATACAGACAGCTTTGTGCCTCCGTCCGGGCCCTCCAACCCCATGAACCCCGCCATTGGCAATGGCCTTTCACCTCAGGTCAGTCCCGTGTTTCCAGACAGACGATTTGCTGTGTACCAGAACCAAATAGTCAATTCCCTGAGGCGGTCGTATAATGAATTGCCAAATTTAAACCATAATGTATTCTTTATATAAGCCACATGATTTCACTTTCCTGGTTTCCTTTCTCTCCAACCTTCCTACAGGCTGTATCAAAAGTTGTGGCTTAGACTTAAAATTCAAGTCAGTTTCAGTGTAATCACAGAAATTTTATGTTTATAATTAGTCGTCGAGGCATTTGCCATCTCCACTCCTAGTTCTGGCCTTTGGATTAGAAGCTCACGCTCGTTTTTTAAAAACATGGTATTCGGTCAGCCGATAGGGTTGTGAGCAAAAGCAGCTAATAAGAAAACATCAGCTTTTATAAAACAATCCGAGAGGAAGCAAACAAGTTGTGTGGAGAGAGACCCAGCTGATGACTACAGTGCTCTGGTGTAAATGAGTCATAAATGCATGGATTAGGAGAATTACTGCTCTTTGGGACTATAGAGGTATTTGAATGTTGTAATTGTTTTTCTAATTTGCATTGGACTATGAGCTTTTCTTGAGAGATCATATTAATAAATTGCCTTGATAATTGCGTGTCAGAGGGTTGGTTAGATTTCCTACATGTGGCATCTGTCTGAGATTGACATTATTAGCAGTTGTTTAAATACAGATCGCTTGATTTTATTAGGGAGCTCTTGGCCCAGGTGGCGAGGACAGCAGCCCGCTAAATTTGGAGAAATGTCACAAAGGGGTTGCAATCTATAATTGCAATCGAGAATCTCTTCAGGGCTGAGAGTGAGAGTTTTAACAGCTTTATCTTTTCTTAACCCCCTTTTTCCTCTTGGTGGTTAGAAAAACAGAGAGAAGCTCAGAATGACACAAATGAAAAGTGAAAAGACAATTATAGTCAATTACACACTAATCACTGACTATCACCGCTGCCTAAGCACCAAGAGGGCATTCTAATAGGCAGAAAATGAGATTTTAATGGCACAAAGGGTGGCCAAAATAACGACTCATATATCTTTGCCTTCTTCGTTTTCTTCAACTTGTGGTTTGAGTCTTGGGAGTGGAGTTCCCGGGCTCTGCACCACAGTGATAACTCTGAGCAGCTGAAAAGTTCAAAGCTGTTGGAGTTGAAAAGAATGAATAGTAAAGGCAATGAAATAAACATTTCTGCCTAAAGGCAAAAGTTCATAAATCCTTTTTTTTTTTTTCGGTAACAGTAAATGTAATTAAGTTGCATAGATTCCTGTAGCACATCCTGGGATAAAAAAAATAAGAGATGGCTTTAAACCTCAGCCGAAAATAACAACATGAAAACAATGAACGTGCTTCCTACAGGACTTGAATGCATTTAATTTCTAAATGCTGGCATTTATGAATGTGATTTTGCATGAAAATCATGGACTTATATTAAAAGATACATCTTTGAAATGCCCAGATTTATAGCATTATCAGCGTCTTCCACAGCTTAGAAGTAACGTCAGAAGTAGTTATCTCTGCAGTTTTTAAAATAAGTGGTTTTGGGCCATAGAAAAGCTTTTTAGGAACATGATTTGGTTGAGAGTTTTAATAAAAGTAAACTTCAACCCTAACCAGTTCCTGAAGGTGAGACTCGAGACTCCCTCAGCATTTCATAGTGTTCAGTCATAATAAATATAACAACACGGATCTGTATTCTATAAGTGAAGCTGCTAGTTTTTTGTATTATAAGTGTATCACCTTGCATGTTATAATGAGTATATTTTACTGTATTATATAAGCGTTATGTCAATGGAATTATTAGCATTTGATCTTGAAACAGTTAATTATTGAGTTTCAGGAAGCTTGGCTATGATTCTAGAGTTGATGGTAGAGAGGGAATTATTCCAATATTAAACAATGTAAAATTTCGTAGGCAACTTGCAACGTTTCTTGTATTTCTTTATTATGCTCTTAGATATTATGTTAATTCCTTACTTAAAACATTGCAAATATCTAGGATAGTTTGCATTTCTTCCATACATTTCTGCCTCAAACCAGCAGTAGGAATCTCTGTTGTCTTCATTCTTGAAGCGTTCCCCAATGAGTTAGGCAAGAGACAAATAATATGGAGCGAGCCCCTCATTTCCTCGGGCAAAGTTGAAGAATGAAAGGCAGTGAGTGAATCCGTATCTTGTCAACCATCTTTGCAAAACAACGGAGTAGGAGAATTAGGAATTAGAATTCACATTTCTGTAGCTTTTGGGATTTAGCACTTCTCGGGAGTCACTCTAAGCAAGGGGGGAGGGGCTACCCTACTTTTGGTTACCTGGCTTTATTAAAAGTATTACAAAGAAAATTTGAAGAAAAGAGCCCACATCTACCCACCTGTTTAACCTGTTGACTAAAGCAGAGAGTAAAGAGAGGGTGGTGACCCTTTCAAATCATTGCTTATTATGTAGAAGTGCTTATTAATATATCGGACCATACAATATTAAGATGAAACTAACCATTCGATTACCATTCTCCTTCTCTTTTCCTCCTATCCTCCTGCTTTTTCTGCCTCTGTCTGGACATCTAAAAGGCAGACAAATCTACTGAGGCTCAGATAGCTGGTGGCCTGCTGAAGGCCATGGGGCCAACAGTGAGTGGGCTGGGGCTAGAACCTAGACTTCTTGGCTCCTGGTCTAGATCTCACTCGATCTAGTCCATTCATACTTGGGTGAAGAGGAAACAGATTTCATGAAAAACAGAGGCAGGGACTTTAGTCATATTTTAAAATCATTTAGTAGAAACTAGTTTTCTAAACCTTTGGATTCAGGTTAATTTATACTTTCTTTTTTTTGCTAATACTCTCTTTACCTATTTTTTTGCTTTACATGGTTTTTTCTATTAATCTTCTAACAACTTCTAGTAATAATCTGTATGCTTATTGTAGAAAATGGAAATATATTTTTTAGAGTGTCTTTAGAGTAGAAAAAAATTACCCTGGGCAACTGCTGTTAATATTTTTGCATATTGCCTTTCTGGTCTTCTTTTATATCTTTTCAAAAAATATAGTAGTGCCTGTAACTTTGCATCTTGCCTTTTCTCTGTTTTTACATTTCATCATAGGCCTTTCCCCACCTATTAATTTAAATTGAACTGGAGCTAAAGTTTTTGAGTCGTTATGATCAATTCATTGTAGATCTCTTCAGTGGAGGTTTATCTGACACGTTAAAAATATTTGCGCATCTTATTTGACTTTTTTCCTAGTGTCATTGAAATTGATGTGTTGTTTGCCATGCACACTTGAAAATCATGTGTTAGAATGTGTATGAACTATTGTTCAATGGGCTTTCTAGCTTCTTGTCAAAGAACTCATAGACACTATGACAGATATATTGTTTCTCTCTGTGTGTGGACTTCTGTTGCTTTTTTTTGGGGGTGGGTTTCTAACATATTTGCTCCTTCAAGCAAAGATTTTTTAAAGTTTGGAATCGAAGCCATTAGGCAAATGGCGTTTGTTAGTTGTCCTCAGTCTTTCTCTCAGGGAAGGTCTCAACTTCATGAGGGAAGGACGTGAAGCAGTGACTCAGGAAGCTCATACCTGTCCAGCTGCTTGGATTGGAATAGCACTTATGAATCTCAGAGCACTGAGATTCAAAAAATTGTAGAAAATTTGGCCATATCTTTCCTCAAGCTGCTGAAAGGGTCTGTGCACTACCTAATTTTTGGCAAGTTTATCTTTTTTTTGAGGGAATCAGTAACTATATCTGGGCAATGTTCCCATTTTACTTATGGAAAACTGAGGCCAATGCAACATAATCATCTAAATGACCGGGTGATTTACCAGCAGAGTTAAGAGACAAATCTATCTCTCTGCCAGTTGTTACCAATTCCTCTATAAACAGAAATTACACATTTCACTTGGTGAAGAAGCACAATGTCCTAGAAAGTTTTTCACGAGCTCTGGCACTAATAGGAAGCCTGATTTTCCTGCAGGCATGATTGAAAGTCTTCAAAATTGGAGTATTTGGCTTCCCATCTCCTCAAAGACTGGATCTGTCTGGGGACTTGAGGCGAGATTCTCAGTGATGGGTGAGAGAGGGGTGTAGGCTAATGACCTCAAAATTTTCTTCCGTCTCTGAATTATATTCTGTTTGAACTACATAACCCTTTCAGGAGACAAGGCTTATATAATGAATGACAAAACACCCTCTGAGAAAGAAAACCATTCAACTCACTCTAGAGAGGGCTTTCACTTGTAGTAGCAGCTTTCTTTTGAAAGGTTGTGTCCTCTTGGTGTGGGACAACACAGAAAGAACACAGGGAAATAGAGGCCATGTATTTCCCCTTCAAACCCAGATGGTATGTTATCAGCCCCTTCCTGCATACGTAGGAGAGAAAAAAGAATGTTGACTTGGAATATGGCGTGCCAAGGAAATACCACCATATGCTCCAGACATGAGACTAATTAACATGTTCTTCTAATTAACTTTCTTTCCAAGAAACACTAGTCTCTCGCGATGCCCCCAAACACACAGAGCCAACCCCCCAAAACAAAGCCAATTAAATCAACAATCTTATCATGTCACACCCTGTCCCCATCCTATTTCTACGAAGTCTACAGTTTTTGGTGATAGCTTCTAATGATTTTTTTGAGTGAAATACAGTATCAGTGGGTTACATGATTTCTAGGAAGCTTTTTTTTATTTGTTATGTGTTATATAAAAATGGGCCAACTTGGCTGCATTTAGGGTTCATCAACTATTGCAAATGATTCTTCAAATGTTTTGGGTTTGGTAAAACCTAAAACACATTTTGCCGAGCACTTTTCCTCCTTAATTTTTCAAACTGTGTATTTTAGGGAAAATTTGATCCATATGGTTTTGATTCATTTACTCTTATATCATTGACATTTTTTTTTTTTCCTACGGAGCCATTTGATATCCAAGAAGCTTTCTGAGCCTTTCTTACATTCATTTTAAGCATTTCCCTCCTTAAAAAGAGGAAGTCCTCTTTGCAACCTCAGAGGCCATAAATTT